GATCCGGTAGTCATAGATTGCTCAATGTTCCCAGAGCCAGACTTAAATAAAGAGGTGAACGTGCCTTTGCTGTTGCGGGTCCTAAACTCTGGAACAGTTTACCAGTTCATATTAGATCTGCTCCTACAATACAGATTTTTAAATCTTTGCTTAAAACTCATTATTTTTCCATTGCTTTTAATGTCCCTTGATAATTAATTTTTTTTATTCGACTTCTGTTGTTGTTCTGATTTTCTTTTGATATCCTGTTGATAATTTGTCTCTGATTTTATCTGTGATTTTTTTTTTTATTGTTTTGCTTGTATTTATTTTATCTGATGCTGTAAAGCACATTGGTCAGCTGCCGCTGTTTTAATGGTGCTATATAAGTAAATTAAACTTGAAACTTGAAACATGTTTTATCTATATGCTATGTCTCTACATAGCATTTTAAGGCCACGACATATTATCACGTTCCCAGGAGTTAATATGACATTCCCACGAGTTAATATGTCGTGGCCACAACAAAATTAAGTGAACCGAACATGTCTCCTCCCGGTCACTGTACCTAACAATGTAACTTTCGTTAAACTTTTAATAAATTGATGTTAAATTGTATAAATCTTAATTTAACCATTAAAATGGAGTCCAGAAAAATTAAAACGGAAAAAAAAATGATACTGGGGATAAAACAGATTACATTGGGCCCTAAATGAGATATATTATTACATTAATGAATACTGGCAAAACACTGGAGAAAACCTTATGGATTTTCATGTTTGCTTCAAATTTCTTCAGAGAAAAGTGTTATTTTTCACATTTTTACCCAAAATAGGCTGGTGTGAGCATTACTGTGTGCTATAAATACATGTAATGTTTGCTTCATTCATACTGTAAGCCGGGAGGCGCCCTCGTCCACATATGCCTTACAATAATAATATTACTTCTGGCGATCCAGAAAATCACTAACATAGACAAAGGCTTACAGCTATCGCTGCAACTGAATAAAAAGAAGCCACATCAGATGACAAAAGGAAGTTATTTCAAACACTCGACTGATATTATTTAGTCAGTTTGCAGTAAAAATGTTATTAAATGTGTATTTTGTTGGTCAACAGGTTAAATGCTCTCATTACTCTGGTGTGTGTGGCTATCAGAGAGATGAGCGAGCGAGAAAGCGCAGCTGGTATCGGTGTATCGATAATGCGAAAAAAGAGTACTGAAATAGTTTCTACTGTGGATGTACCATCATGCATCCAATAACTGAGTAAACATTTGCTGCAACACACTCTGACCAAGGCATCCATTGACCAATGAAGTATATATATTTATATTTAGTCATTTAGCAGACGCTTTTATCCAAAGCGACTTACAAATGTGGACAATAAAAGCAGTCAAAACTAACAAAAGAGCAACAATATATAAGTGCAAATGACAAGCTCTTGCCAGTCTTAGGGCTTCAACAACTGAAAGCAAGGCAGTCTCAGTCGAATGTCCACTTCCGAAGCCAGATTGGTTGATGTCCAGGAGGTTGTTCTGTGTAAGTAACTCCAGTCTAACTGACCTGGGTCTATCAACACCCTTCAAACACATCTTCTCAGTCAGCGCTTTCTCATGTGTATGAGATGCCCAAGCCAAAAGTGCCAACAATGGACCCTTTTCACATTTCCAGAGTTCTCAGAAGAAGTAGTCATAGCTGAGTAAACTACTGTGGTGACTATATTTGTGAAAAAAGAAGAAAAAAAGAAAAAAAAGAAAGCACAACCGTGATTCCATGATTTTACAAACGATTTACAATGCTAATAACTGTGTGAATGCATCATCAGCCTGTGAAAAGGGTCCATATGTAAGAGTTACGGATGTTAGACACTTAGACCTGAAACACTTCCACAAATGCCATGCTCACTCCATGCACACTCACGGCTGCCAAGAGTGCAACGTAATACACACACAGTGATTATACCCATCACTGATGGCCTTTGACCTGCCGTTTGGGAAGGCCTGATAGAAAGCCGTGGAGGGATTCCTTGCGGATAAAAGAAAGAAAAAGAGAGAGAGATAAATAAGGTAATATAATGTCAAAGTTTTAGAAGGAAAGACCAAAACAAATCTGCTGTGATGCCTTAAGGGCTTTCAAGACACAGTTGAATGGTCATTCATATCTAAGAGTGAAAAGGCTCAGGGTGTGAAACAGCTCTGGCGACTGAGGCCCAAGCTACAGGCCTGAAGTATTCAAAGTTCAGAGTGAATATATGCCAAACAGGAAAAGTCAGAACAGCCATTGAGTGTGAGACACAGATCCCCTACACAAACGATCACATTGATTTACAGCCAAGTTTATACAGCTTAACTAAAAGGAGATTAATTCGATTTTCTTTGGTTGATCATGCAACACAGTGAATGTTACAAAGTGGCCATTATCCTTTGACCAGCAATGACTTGACTCACTTATTATAGTTTTTTTTTAGTTTTTTTATCTGGCTTCACTGGAATTGTGTGCAAGCTCATTTCTGCCACTGAATAAAAAATAAAAACGGTTACTGTGAGTTTTTGTATCACAATTCAGATTTTTTTCCTCACAATTTTGAATTCTTTTCTCAGAATTGTAGGTTTAAATCAGGCAATTCTGATGAAAGTCGGAATTGCGAGTTTATATCTTGCAGCTCTGACTTCACAACACACAATTGTGAGTTTATATCCCACACTTCTGAATTTATAGCTCCCAATTGCAAGATCAGATCTCATAATTCCCAGAATAAACTCACAATTGCGAGAAAAAAAAAAGAAGTCAGAACTGCAATATAAAAAAATGCATTTGTGAGAAAAAGTCAGAATTGTGAGATAAAAAGTTGCAATTACCCTTTTTTATTTTTTATTCAGTGGCAGAAATGGGCTTCCACAGAATTGCCGTGACTTCTTGTTTCCATAATAATAATAATAATAAAAAAGCAAATTAGCTAATTATAAATTTAAAGCATCTTAAACACACACACACAATTATTCCAAATGTTCAAATGTGGTCTTGGTCCAAACGTTGGCCTAGAATACAATACTGAATAATTTAACATTTACAGCTACAAAATAGCTGTCTCTAACCCAACAGAAGTTGTGATAGAAATGGTATTTGTTTAGAAAACACAGAAGGTCAAACCTCATAATTAATACACCATTTAGTTACAAAAAAGGTAGTTTGTGGGGAGAATCTGTGGAATAAATTCATTATGAAACAAAATGTGTTAAATGGAGCTAAGTGTGCTACACTCCAACTGGTACATGAACGTAATTTAGGCAATTTGGAGCAATTTAGCAATTAAAATATTTTTAAATATTTAATAATTAAATCATCTCTTTTTTTTTTTTTAAATAAGTAGAGCTTGTAAAGTGAGGTCCAAAAAAAGTGTACAATTGCAAAAAGTGCATGCACACAACATTTATAAAAGCAAATGAAGGACTTCATAGATTTGTACTCAAATTCTACTGAAATCTGCAAAGCTTTCTACAGAACTCTTTGCGAAAATTTCCACGTGGGCTTGGTAATTCTTGAACAAATGATTGCATAAATTCAGTCAAAAAAACAAAACGGAAACAAATACAGAGAGAATGGATAATTAGCAAAATTCACTCAAATGGTGCTTAAAACAAACACTTGTGGAAATATTCTTTCATGTTTCCACCAAAAGATGACGACTGACAAATGGAATTACCCTGGGGACGTGAAGCTGGCAGAGGATTACGCAGAAACATGTTTCTGTACACTGAGCTGTATAAGCTCTAACAACAAAGAACATATAGAAACAGAGCATTCAAAGAAGAGGGTATCACAAAAACTCTTATTTATATTTCAGGATGTCTGCTATCAACTGAAATTAAAATAAATTGATGTTTATCTGCTTACCCCCGGCATCCAAGATGTAGGTGACTGTGTTTCTTCAGTAGAACACAAATGAAGATTTTTAACTCAAACTGTTGAAGTCTGTCAGTCATATAATGGAAGTGAATGGGAATCATGGCTTTGAGAGTCAAAAAAACATACACAAACAAAACCAAATTAAACCCTGCGGCTCGTGACGATACATTGATGTGTAAAGACACGAAACGATCGGTCTGTGCAAGAAACTGAACAGTATTTATATCGTTTTTTACCTCTGATGCACTGCAATGTCCGAACTGTTCTGTTTACTCAGTTACAGCAATAGCAATGCCTTTGTCCATATTAGCAAAACGTATAGGGATTTCCTGAGTCCTATTACTTCTGTGATGTGGAGTTTCTGTGCGAGGGCGCCCTCTGGCGTCCAGTATGAATGAAACGGACATTAAATGTGTTTATTAGCGCTCAATAATGGCCAATCCATCCTATTTTGGCTATTTTTTATTTTTTTTAAAGTATCGGTTCAGGTACCGTTTTGGCACCAGTATCGTAAAAAACCCAAACGATACCCAACCCTAATTAGGAGTTAAAACGGATCGCAGTTGATCCATAATACGTATGGATGAGACCCTACCGTTCGGCATGTGAGTGATTCGCAGATTAATTTGCCAATTTACACGTTCAAGCAATTTTAAACCACAAGTAGAAGAAACGAAAAAGAGCTCAATTCGTTACTCACGTGCTGTTCTCGCACACAATCAAAGCGCGCACAAGCATAGAGACGTGTTTCAGACAGCACGGAAATACAGTTGTGTATACAAATTAGCCTATGTCAAAAACCCTTCACAGCATTGTCATTCTCTGTGCTTTAAATTTTTTTTTCTAGCTTATCCGAAAAAATTGTCCGATCTGTGACTAAAGAAAAAACAATATAATGCATTGAACCACTATATAATGCTATTATAATACTATATAATAGCCTAATATA